CTCTTCCAACCCAGTGATTCTGTGAATTCTGTGAAAATCTGGGAGTGATTCTCCCTCCATGAAGCCAAATTTCTCTGCTCCCACAAGGGAGGAGGAGCTGTTGTCACCTTCAGTGAGTGACCCTCCTAAATCCAAGGCTCTGAGCAGAGCCAATCTATTCTCTTCTTGGCCGTGACAGCAGCAAAGCTCAGGGTAAATTGAATTTGGGATTAAGTCACCCACCCGTGTCCAGCAGCCCGAGGTGTTGCACGAGGCTGTCCCAAATGTGGGGCTCTGTTTTTGGGGTGTCCTGGCAGCTGTGGTGGCTCAGAGGGTTGGGATGGGTTGTCCTCACAGCCCAAGGGACAGTCCCAGACCCAGACTGCCCATAAATTGTCCATAAATTGTCCATAAATTAGGAGTGTCACTGCCTTGTGACCCAGGCAGGGTCCGTGTCCTGCACTGGCTGGGCTCTGCCCCTTTCCTTGGATCCCCGGATCCAGAATGTTCCTTCCACAACAGGACAGGGGATTTAGGATCTTGCACAGAGCAAAAGCTGAACTGAGGAAGTGCCTGAGCTCCGAGGGGTGTGCAGCCCTGGCAGGGAGCTCTTTCCCAGGAGGGAAAGCTGTTGATCTGTTGCTAATTCCTCCTCCTTCACAGAATCCATAGGGATCTCCCTCTGTCTGTGTTTGTTCCTCCCTCACCCACCTCCCAGCCCCCAGAATGAATTCAGCAAGATCACAGAGCTCTGTACCCAGTTTTGTCTGACAAACCCCGGAGATGGAACCGTGCAATGCAAAGGGTGAAAAAACAAACCAGAGCAGCACCCTGGTGCCTGGGGAGCACCGTCCCACTGGGGTCTGGTGTCAGACAGCTCCCACGAGGGGCTGCTGACAAAAATTAATTACCAGTGCCACGTGGAGGGGCTGGGGAAAGGTTTTTGCTGATTTATGAGGGATTCCCAATGGTGGTGTCAGGAAAATTAATCCACAAACACCAGAGGTTTATGTCCAAAAAAGAGACAGAGGAGTCCTTTTTGCTTTATTCAAATAAATGGGGCATTCCCCTGGGATGTCTCAGATTTTTGGAGGATGCAGCCTCCCTTTTTATCCTCTCTCTTTCCCCATTGGCTGAGGTACTTGAGAGGTACAGACTTTCTGGAATGCCTGATTCCTGAAATTCCCCTCTAATATATAACCCTCCCTTTTAATTTTTATAGAATTCATGTTTTTTCCCCATTGCTTCTTTCATCTTTCAATATCCAGTTTCATTTACCAGCAAACCTACAGTTTGTTTGTAAAAGCAAATATTTTTTTTTCCATTCATCGATCAGTGGAATCCATCCCATTGTTTCTTTTATCTCTCAGTGCTGGTTTTCTCTCCCAGCAGACCCAGGGTCGTTTGTAAAGACAAATCCAGCATTGCTCTGAGTGGGAGAGAAGTTTTAGTTCCTTCTTCTTCACATGGGAGACAGTGGAATTATTATTATCAATTATTGTGGATGTCCCTTTCCCTCTGTATTTCCTGGAAGCTCAGCGTGTGTTGCAGGACACTCAAGCAGTGCTGGAATTTTTTTTTTGTGCATGAAAGGGGCTCCCAGCGCTGCTGCCCCCATTAATCCTCCCTCCCACAGCACAGCCCAGCCGGGCTCTGGTGGTGCCAGTTCTGAGCTGGAGTTTGTGGTGTGCTCTGCCCAGCTGGGGCCCACGGGCTCTGGGAGCTCAGAACTGCTGGGTTAATGTGAATTATGCCAGCACTTGGCAGGGAAATGCCTGTTTGATCCTGTTAACTCTGCAGAAACCTGTGTGGGTTTAATTGTCCTTCCCAGCTGTGCTGAGCCCGTCGCTGTTTGTCCTTTTCCTAATGAAGGAATTTTGAGAAGACTTTTTCCTTCTTTTGAGGTGAATTCTCTGCCATTTTAAAACCAACCAGGCAAAACAAAACTTGAAAAACCCACCTTTGATTTGGGACAGTTTGTTGAGTCCCCCGAGGCTGAGGGCCAGGCAGATGATGGGATGTGTGTGCCAGAGGCTTTGCAGGATCTCATAATAATTATTGCTTTAATTGCTCTCCTAAAGACTCTTCAGCTGCCAGAAGTTTCTGGTAGATCTTACCCAGAGCTGCTGTTCTGCTGCAGATGAGGAGTTTTAGTCCTTGTGATGGGGAGGGGAGGATGGGGCAGTGCCCCCCTGCACCTCTGCAGGCTGTGTGGGGGTGGGAAAAGGAACTGTTGGCATTTGCAGTTGAGCCAGCATTAAAAAAAATCGAATTAAAAATCACAGCATCCTTCCAAACAAGGTATTTTAAGGTAGTTTGGTTGCTAGAGAAGAAAGCATCGAGCTCCTCTCTGTGAATAAATCCCGGGGTGTTCTGCTCCTGCCTATGGAGACAGCTGGGATGAGGTTTTGCAGTTCTGGCTGATTTAGGATTCCCCTGAAGTTTTTGTCACAAACTGCCTGAACTCCGATTCCTGAGCTCTCCTGAGCCTCTGTGGGAGCACCACAGCGAGCTCAGCAGCAGCTGTGCCCTCTCTGAAGTGCTCTGTCCCTGCAGGTCATCGTGGGCAGCATTTTTGAGGTGATTTGGGCTGCAGTGAAGCCGGGAACCTCCTTTGGCATCAGCGTCCTGCGAGCCCTGCGCCTGCTCAGGATCTTCAAGGTGACAAAGTAAGTGCAGCTCCCTGGGCACTCAGTGCACTTCGAGCACCCCAGGAAATCCCAGTCCCCAGCCCCAGGGCCACGAGGAGTGCTTTCCATATTTATCACCAACAAACTGATCATTAAATCGCTAAAAAATTAAAAATTATAAAAAAAACCCAAAAAACAATGTCCCAAGCCCCTGGGTTAGCTGGCACAAAAGCCCAGGCTGGGGGGCAGCAGCAGATTAAAACTGCAAATGCAGAATTCCCCTTTCCTTGGCTGCCCAGTTGGACATTTTGGGAATTCCTGAGCCTGTGTTTACACCCACAAGGAATTTTACCAGCACTTTGTCTCCCCAGCCTCACGTCCAGGTTTGTCTGTCCTTGTTTCCTCAGTGGGCTGAAAGGAGAATGTCCTTCTTTTCTTTATCTTCAGGCTTGTTTGAATCAAAAATATTGTAATGTCACTTGTATTTTGTGTAAAATCCCCAAGTTTTACTTATTTTCTGAGTCCTGTCAACTTCCCACTGAACTGATGACAATTCCTTAAGTGGGAATGACAGTGGGCTGACAGGAGAATGTCGTTTTTTGCTTTGGTTTTAAGCATGTTTAAAACAAAAATCTCAGGTTATCACTCATATTTTGTGGTAAAAACCCCAAGTTTTATTTTCTTTCTGAGTCCCATCAGATTGCCACTGATCTGATGACAATTCCTTAAGCATTTAGGAAAAGCAGCTTCCCTGGGGATTGCTGGGTGCTAATCCCAGGGCTGAGCTGTGTTGACACGAATCTGAAATGTGTTCCTGCTGCCTGGGCTGGGAATTTTGGGGTTTTTCAGCCTGGAGACTCTGAGATAGAATTTTCACTCTTTTTTTTTTTTTTTTTTTTTTTTTTTTTTTTTTTTTTTTTGCCACAGCTTTTGTTGTTTTCGTGTTCCTGCTTTGAGTTAATGTGTGCTGGCATTAACAAACAGCTCCTGTGCCATCTCCAAACCCATCCAGAGCCCTTTCTGCAGCATTTCTAAGGCGTGCTGTGGAAATAAATGACAAATTTAGGTTCTCCTGCTGTTGTTTTCCACCTTATATTTTACACCGTTACCTCTTCAGCCCTCCCTTGTTTCCATCACTCCCTGAATTCTTCCTGACTGGAAGTAACAGGAGGAGGAACAGCCCTTCCCTCCAAAAATACCCCAACCTTACACAGATAAAGAAAATGTGAGCAAAGCAGTCATTTGAAGTAACCAGCAATGAGTTTTGTAGCTCTGTGGGGCTGATTTGTACCTGCTAATTGTTTATTGTTAATTATTCTTATTCAGATCCCAGGTTTGTGTGTGGTGCTGTGTCATTTGTTGTCCTCTGGGACAGCAAACAGGGTGGAAACTTTTAAGTTCTGTAAATGTCCAACAAAAAAAAAAAAGTGGCACCTGCACCAGAAGTGTCACTGCTGGATACTTGCAGTGGGTGGGTTGGAAGGATGCAAAGATTTCCAGGAGGGAATGAATGAGGTGTTGATTCCTGATTTTATTCCTGATTTGTGTCTAATGGAGCCTGGGGCTCACTGTTCCCTGCTCCAGTCTCACCTTCCTTGGTACATCCCTGTCTCTGCCACCCCTCCTGACTCTGTGCCAGCTGAGAAGGTGCCAGAAGGAGGAGAAATCCCAGGAAAAGGTTCCTAAGGAACTGATCCCGACATTCACTGGCTGCTGTGGGTGGGTGCTCACACACCAAGGGACCATCTCTGCTCTCGTGGTTCTCCAGGAGATTTTGCCACTCCCTCAGCTGTATTTTCCAACAGTAGAGGGGAGTTTAGGGACTTGGACATTCTTTGTCATTCTTTTCCTTTTTTAAAATAAGAAATAATTAAAGCACAAACTCAGTGTGGTTGGAAAAGACTTCAGGATCTTTGAGTCCAACCATTCCCAGCACAGCCCAGGCCACCACTGACTGTGTCCCCCAGTGCCACATTTTTAAAATCCCTGCAGGGATGGGGAGTCCCCCACTGCCCTGGGCAGCTTTTCCCGATGCCTGTCCACCCTTTCCATGAACAACACCCGACCTGAACCTCCCCTGGTGCAACTTGAGGCCGTTTCCCCTTGTTCTGTGGGAAATAAATCCCTGTTATTTTCTCACCCAAGGCTTTTCCCCACTCATGTTCTGCCCTGGCTGCTCTGATCCAACACAGGTACTGGAATTCGCTGAGGAATCTGGTGGTGTCCTTGCTGAACTCCATGAAATCCATCATCAGTTTGCTTTTCCTGCTGTTCCTGTTCATCGTGGTCTTTGCTCTGCTGGGGATGCAGCTCTTTGGAGGACAGTGAGTCTGAGGAATCTTTGTTCAGGGGCTGGGGATAGGAATTCATTCCTGTTCTGGTGGTTTCCCTGGAGCTGGATTCTTTCCTAAGGAAGAATGTTCCCAGTTCAGAGCTCCTCCATCATGCCATGGTTCCCAGCACACCCAGAGCTCAGACAGGACTGGGGCAGCACTTTCTGTGCTGGTTCTTTCCCTGATAACCACAGTGCCATTAGATTTATCCACTTGGAATATTTTCCTGCTGCAAAACACAGTTTGTTGGATCTGATTATTCTCATTAGAAATGCCAGCAGTGGTGAACTTTGCAATAAGAACCATCACAGTGTTGCCATTTAAACTCCAGCCTCGCTTCTGAACTGAAATAATGAAATGGTTTTGTTTTCTTTTATTTTCCCAGTCAATCTCTATTTTATCTTTAAAATATTAAAAAGAAATTATCTACTAAGAGAGTAATTTCAGTTTGGGCTCACTTGAGGATGAAAACTTCTTGGAATGGTTCATTCTCCAAAATCATTGGAGATTTTGATTGCTCATTTTAATTGGGGATGAAAATGAATTTCAAAGCATCAGAATTTTCTCTGGGAATGAAATTGAGTTTTTGCTGATGGTTTTGTTAAGCACCTTCTGAGATGTTCCCCACCAAGCTCGCCTGGGGTATAGCAGCCAGGTGGAACAAATGTTGCTCCCTGACTTGGTTTATGGGGTGTTAAAGGGTATTCCAAGGCTGCCTGGAGCTGCCTGTCCCTCCCCACTCTGGTTTTTATTTCTCCCTTCTCTCCAGGTTCAATTTCCAAGATGAAACTCCAACCACGAATTTCGATACCTTCCCTGCTGCCATCCTCACAGTCTTCCAGGTAAAGCCATTCCTTGTGCTGGGGCAGTGATAGAATTGAAATTCCTGGGTGTTTCTTCCTGCTTAGGGAGGATAAACAAGGCCCCAAAAACTTGTGGAATTTACTTTGCTGACCAATACATACATCACTAAAAATCCAATTAAAAATTAATGCTGTAGTATTAAGGAAAACTTAAGTATTAAGAACAAAAGATTTATTGCCAGGGGGAAAATGCTGATAAAACAGATATTTCTGTGCTGAATTAAAATCTGTGTGTGCCCTTTGTGTTCTGCAGCCCCTGCCCATGGAGTTGCAGCTCTGAGAGATGCAATGCTTGGATTTAAAGCTGAATTTTGCAGCTGTTTTCTATCTGTCTTTTTTAAAAAAGCAATAATTTAAAATGGTTTACAATAATTAAAAATAATTTAAAATCATTAGAAAAGAATGTTTTCAGGTGTTTCCCAGCTCAGGAGAGTTGGGGCTGCTCCAGGTGCAGGTGACCCTCCCAGATCCAGCATTTCCAGCCTTGTCCTGCACAGTGTGGGCTCCCCCCAGATCCAAACTTCCCCAGGTCTCAGCAAGGTCTGGCTGATGTATTTCAGTGTCATGACTCAAAAAGGAAGGGAAGGGGGATGATGACAATTTCTGGATTAAGACAGAAAAAGAATCTCAAGGAGAAGTGTCCTGTGAGCTCTGCAGGAGCCACTGCCCCTTGTGAGGCAGGTTCAGTGCTCAGCTCCCAGGATATTGCCCATCAGGGGGGATTAGGATTTGCATAAGGTCTTAGTGCTCATCAAAGAAGGGCTCAGAGCCCTTCAGGTATTGCCATGGAGCTGGAAGCAGGAGCAGTTCTGGATATGAGCAATGGGAATGTTGGTTTTGGTTTGCTTTGGGGCTGTGGAATTCTCAGCTGGAATATCTCCTGTTAGTCCTGCGATGAATGCAATGTGGGGTGGTGGGGTGAAGGAAAACACGTGGGTTTAAGATGTTTGTCTGGAATGTCAGAGGTAGGAATTGAACCCAGCCAAAGCCATCAGCCCTGGATTATCTGTGGTGTCCCAGGGGCTCTGTGATTCCCCCTGCTCTCCTTCCATCCCACTCCTTCCCTGAACTGCAAACTGCAGGTCAGTGTGGGGTTGGGATCCCTTCCCAAGCCTTTCCTCCACAACCTCAGCCAGGCTGAGCAGAGCATCAGTCAGAGACAGCATTCAGTGTGCTGAATAAATACAGTTAGATACACCCTGCCCAGCCCTGGACCTTTGGAGATTCTCTGTGTAAGAAGCTTCTCTAACAAACTCTTCTGTCCTCTGCTTTAGCCCATTTTTATCCCAGCAGCCCTGGCTGGGTCATGGTCCTGTCACTGGACACCCAGGATGTGTTTTTGTCCACCTGGCAGCTGGCTGAGCTCAGCCTAAATTCCCTCAGAGGAGCATCACACCTTTATCTCCAGCTGTGAATAATCAAATTCCACTGACAAACACCATCCATGAGCACAGAGCCTCTGAAAGCAGAGTTCTGTGTTCGGTACCTGTGCCCTGCTCCCTGATTTCCTCTGGAAATCCTTCCGGGCTGTCAGGGGTGAGCAGTGGTGAGAGCTGGAAATGAGGAGTGGCAGGATGGCAGCAGAGCTCTGCCCTGCCCATGTGTGCCCGTGGGATCTGCCATGGAGCTGATGGCACTCAGGAATGTCCCTTTCACTGCAGCCCTGCAGCAGCACTGTCCTGTCCCTGTCCCTGCTCATTGCTCCATTAACATCTCACAGCAGCTCTCGACAGCTGCTTTATTCCATCACCTGCAGGCTGCTCGGTATTAAACGGTGAGATGCACTCAGAATGTTCATTTAGGGCAGTTTGGAGCCCAGGGAATAACAAAAGGCTTCACCTTGCTCCCAAGTCCTTGTTTCCTGTGCCTCTCCCTCTGCAGTGCTGTCCTTCCCTCTCCTCAGCCAGAATTCCTTACAGCATCCCTAAACAGACCAGAGGGAATTTCATTAACTGCCTGAGGACAGAGCCAGCAGGTCCTGGATCCTCCAGGCTGCTCCCTAATTACTTAAGTAATTCCTGCAGCTGATGGCTGATGTGGGAAGGACACCAGCTCCTCTTTCCTGGGCCTCAGGGAGCATCCTCAGCTCCCCCAGGCAGGCTGCTTAGTTTACCTCATTTCTCTCTCTGCAAAATCCCCATAAAACATCCCTTGAACTTCTTGTTCCACTCTCAGATAATCCAAAAGTTGGATTTTGAACCCAGACCCTGCTGAACTTTGTCATACATGTAAATCCTGGTCTTCTTTTTGGGAAAAGTTCCCAGTGGTTGCCCTTTCCATGAATGTTTCTGTTATCAGAAATCCCTTTCTGGCTATTCCCAGAAAGCAGGAGCAGTTGTGAATTCATGGAAATTCTGTGAATGCACATTTGTGGACAATACTCTGCATAACTGAGTGACAGATTTGAAAGCCCAAAGCCCTGTTTCATATTCTATGATGTAAATCCAGAGTAGCTCCATCAGTGTTGGGTCTGAATCCTGATTTTGGAATTATTTGAGGCTGAATTGTGCATTTGGGAGAGGAGTTGGTGTCTGTACTGGGTGTCCTTGTGTCTAGACTCACTCCTAGCCCAGTGCTGTCATCAGCACTATCCCTGCAGCCAGAAATTTCCCCTCTCTCAGCAGCTGACAGCCAGGCTGGAATTTGCTGGCTGGAATTTGCACTCATTCCAAGCATCCTGTGTGCACATGGAGCCCCATTACTACAGCACACATCAGGCTTTGAGCTTTTTATCTTCTTTTTTGTTGTTGTTGTTTGTTGTTTTTTTCTCACCTCCTAAACCCAAAGACAACTTCCTGTTTAGGAGTTGGATCTTTACATCCCGGTGTTTTTTAATGCACTAAGAGTGGTCATTGTTTGACTCTGCCAGGCAGGCAGAGGATGTGCTCATGTGCCCAGAATTGTTGCTGTGCTCCAGGTTTTGGTGAAGAAAGGAACACCAGACAATTCACCCTGGTGCAAAATGAGCATTTAGCACGGCAAGGCTTGTTGGAGCCTTGTACACTGATTAGTTTTTCTATAATTCCTGTATTTGTTAATTAGCCCTGGGTCGATAATCAGAGGTGCAGCTCTGTGCTTGTCCCTGCTCAAGGACAATCACAGTTCCCTCCAAGCTGTCCCTGCTCTGTCCTCGCTCTCACACTGAGGTTGTTGCTTCTGTTTTGGGATTTTTTGGGGGCTTTGTGGCCCTCTGGGTCAAACCTGGGGTTGCTGAGGAGGAGCCCATGGTGTGCAGCCCCTGCAGTGCTGTGGTGCCCAGGAGTGATGCCCAGGGAATATTCCAGCTGCTGGAAGGCTCTCCCAGCCCTGAGGAGCACAGGAGGGGTGGCAGGAGGTGACAGAGCTGGGGACAGTGAGTGAGGGCTGGGGGAGCCCAGCAAACCCAACCCTGCAGGAAGGGCACGAGAGGGGCTGGCACAGGAGAGTCCCTCAGGGCACTGCTCTGGGTTTTCCTGCATGGGACTGGTGAAACCTGGGATCTGTGCATGGCTCAGAAAGGGAGAGGAGAGAGATTCTGCTGGGAGTGAAGTGTCAGAACATGGATTTTGTTTCCTCCACCTGTGTGAGAGCCCCTGGTCGAGGTGGGCACTGACCCAGAGGGGCAGGGCAGGGTCACCCAGTCCAACCCCAGCCCCAACAATCCCAGCCTGTCCATCCCTGGCAGCGCTGTCCAAACGCTCCTGGAGCTCTGGCAGCCTCGGGGCCGTGCCCATTCCCTGGGGAGCCTGGGCAGTGCCCAGCACCCTCTGGGGGAAGAACCTTGCCCTGAGCTCCAGCCTG